TATGCTTACTATTTAAAAGTTATAGCATGAAAACTATAACAAGCACAAAATGGTTACGAGGTCAGTACCAGGGACCAAGCCCGTGCTGAAAGAGTTAAAAATTGCACACACTTAACACACTTGCAAAACAATTAACACCAGCTGGAACGTATATTTCTCATTGTACCGGGAAACAAACGTTCCATATCTCACCTCACGCTACCACAGTGTATATAATAGAAGCAATAAAAACAAATACCTGTTAACACAACCACTGTTAGTATTATAGTAGTAGTAATCACATCAGCAAGTGATGATAAAATTATATTATTTATACCTACAGATGATTTCAACGTTTCTGATTATTTGATCAAGGTCTATGTTTGTATGGAGTACTTTAGAAAAACTACTATTTTATGTAAATCATCATCCATAAACATAATCAAATGTATGAATTATATTAATAACCATTGTCTGACACCATAATTGTTCATAACTAGTAGTATATGCTTAGGCTTAAGCAGATTTATATACATCACACACATGTGTATACAGAGCTTGGACAAAATTATAAATATATTTCACTTTTTTAACTCCAAATTGTAGCTTCTAAGAGAGAGAAAAAACTGGCAATAGGTAATTTAAGTGCACATTAAATTATTTTATTTCACTAAATCTGTCTGTATACAAATACCATATAAATATATTTTCTTGGTGTGTAGAAAGATTTTTAGTGTTAAGCTTAAAAAGTTATGAAGTTTCTAAAGAAGCATGATTATTGGTGAAAATATAGCTGGTTTCTCAGTGATGTCATCAATGATACTGAAGAATAAAACCACATCAGATAACCTATCTTGTACACTTTTTGACAGAGGTTGGCTTTTATTAAGTTCTGCACATACACACAGTGTAGTCCTGTTTTGTCTCACTACTCATGTTTATGCTTGTCTGTCACAATTATCAGCTTAGTTTTTCAGCAGCTGTTATGGTTAATATGGTAAGTCTACCATTCAGAAACCTATAACACCAAATAATTCAAAAACCTGAGTAAAATGGTGTCGAGAACATGAAAATTGGACCAACAATTAATGGAAGAATTTGATCAAACGAATCAACTTTTCCATGAAATGGACACGCTTATGTGTAGTGAAAATGAATAGAAGCATAAGGTCATAAATATCTTATTACATCAGTTAAGCATGGTGGAGGCTCTGTCATGGCATGGACAGCCTTTTGTTAGAATAGTTTAGGGCCTACAATCTCAATGTGACAGCAAATGTTTACTATAAACTTTATTGCAGACCAAGATCATCCTATGGTGAACACTTTATTCTCAAATGAAGCTGGTTTGTTTCAGGAAAACAATACAACAATCAAAACTGCTGCTCTTGTTAAAGACTGACCCACAGAACATTATATCATCAATATAATAGGTTTAATACTAATATGTAATTAGAAGTAAGCATGAGGGAACCTAACTTTACTGTTACAGCCACCAAATTAAATTATTACAAAGCTTCTATGGTCAGCTCTTGAAACCAATCTATAAAACAGATTTCCACCACCACCATTACTTAACCAATCAAAAACTGTTTCACCAATTTCACAGGGTGTTAATGCTGTATTGTCCATATTAATAAATAAAATATAGAAATTATAACGCGTTACCATGTCCAACCCTATATATTTATGTGTACTTACCTTTACTTGTTAAAATGCTCTCTTTTGGTCACTGACATGAAAATGAAAGATACTTAATGGTGATGTGTGTGTGTGTGTATATATATTATAGAAATATTCTACTACAGAAGTTTGTTGGTTGCTTTATACACTGGATAAGTTTTTATATTATAAATAATTTCAGCTGAGTTTTATTCTGGCAGGTGGGTGTAAAAAGAAATATCAGAAAAACAAATAAAATTTGTGCTTTTTCCAAATGAACAAAATTAGTTACCATGCAACAAGCAACCCTTCAAAGATAAGCAAACAGATGAGATGCATAATAGAACAAAAATCAGCTCAAATTTAGAGAGAAAAAAAAGTATAACAAAAGCACAAATTACCTGTGTGGGGTTCATGCTTAGCTGTGAGGGCTCAACTGCAAATCAAAAAAAAAAGACGAAAATAATACTTAATAAACAATAAAATTAAACATAATGGTGCCTGAAAAACAAACATAATTATGAATAGCAAAAAAATAAAAAAAAGCTTCAAACTGTGATATTTCTAGTATCTGTTTAAAACAAAAGATCAAAGTGCATTAAGACCAATTTACTATATACTAATTACAAGGAAATTCATCACTTTTATCATTATGTGATCAAATTTAAATGATAAAGAAAGTGCATGAATATTTTCTTATATACGAATAATTAAAAAATAGCATAAAATCTGGACTAGTATAAATGTAAACATTTCTTACAGGGGACAAAAAATAAACACTGCTTAGGTGGAACTTGGCATACATATTTAACCTACATGTCCTAATCTTTGTGACATAAGTTGGTTGTTATGTAATCTTCTTTGCCAAGCTACACAAGGAGCTATCAGTGCATAGATTTTGAACAGGTAAACCATAGGGAAGGCAACAAGTCAACAGTGCCTATACCAAAATACTTGGCTAGTCTTGTGTGACTGAATAGTGGAATGTGACTGCCATTCTTATCACACATACACAGCACCAAAGTGCAGAATTTTTTTATGTATCTACAATCCATGCATGCTAACCACTAGGCCTCATCACACAAGATTTAAAATGTTTAAAAGAGTGCAATGATACTTTGTAGAAACAGTTTTTCTGAAAGCTACAGAAATGTTTACTTCTAGAAATCAGTTTTGATCATAAGGATATCTGTTTGGAAGACAACATACACAATTAAAAGTAGAAGATATCAATAAATAACTAGAATTAAACAGGTTAGTTAAGCTTAATGGGTCACAAAATTAAGGTACTTTTACATGTTAAGTGAAAATGCTTCTTTATTAGTAGTCCTAGAAGAGAAAGAAGTAAAAAGAATAAAGAGTAATTATTTATGTGAAAGAAACCTGAACAATCAAGGTATATGTAACCGTTCTCAAATATTTACTTTCTCTTCTGTAACTTAATGGACCAATAAGACAGATTTCTTTAAATAATTTGTGTCCATTGGAAGGATATAATTTACAGTTTTTTTATAAAATATAAGGATGGTTTTTGGATTGATTGTTCAAGCCTATTTCCAGGTGTTAGTACAAAAATTTCTAAGACCAATATACTTGGGTCTCAGTAATGCCGGTCATGCGAGTGGTGCCGGCTAAAACTTCTTCTTGGACTATCTCTTGCTTTCCTCATTCGGTTAGACCTAGAGTGGGAGTAATGGTGACGACGACTCTTGGATTTACTTCTGCTTCTTGACCTAAGAAGAATAGCCACTTCATAAACATCTTTCTTTTTTTTACAATAACAAAACTAGTGATAAAAAAAATATTTAGCAAACAGAACATAAAAGTAATGGTTTTTAATAAAGGAAAAAAAAAAAAGAAAGAAAAAGAATACAAATTTAATCTAGGCAAAAACCAAAACCAAAATAAGGGTATCATGCACATAATATATTTGATGATTCCTATTGTCTGATGAGGGCTGAAGCAACCCATCCTACCTCGTAATGCGTCGTTTCTCCAAGAAACTTGGCGAGCCTCGTCGTTTAGGTATAGAAGGGCTCCTAAAAATAATAAAAGAAATAATGTAACACATAAGACCACAAAAAAAGGTATAGTTTTCTGTTAATCTAAGAATCCAACAGTGTTACTTAGAAAATTATTACGGATGGAATAACATTCTAAAGAGACAACCTGCAGAAGGTATGTCACAATCTGGAAATAGCCCACTTTGGATGCTATCTTAAAATAAATATTACATTATTATATCATACAAAGCAATACTGGAAAGTTTCCTTTCATAAGATTTGTATACAAAAGAAATTACTTCTTTATTTAAATGCTATTAGCTACAGTTTCATGGCTTAACCCCTGCCTTATTGTAAATTTATCATAACAAGATCCCAAGTTCAATGAGTCCAGTGAGACATCTGAATATAGTTGTGGTCACTGTGAAAGAAATAAAGGATTTATTGTTTTTTTTCCCTACTGAACCAGTCTCTTATAGTGAAAGATGTAGAAAAAAAAAAAATAATACAGCTAAAATACTCAATAAGCCTGAGGGCTTAAAGCACCCATTACTGCTCTCTTTTATTCTTTCAGAATCTTTCAAAATCCCCAACCAGCCTGACAGCTTGAAGCACCTGTTAGCACTCTCTAATATGTTGTTATTTGGTTTTGAAAGTTCCCCAGCCTGACAGCTTGAAGCACCTGTTAGCACTCTCTAATATGTTGTTATTTGGTTTTGA